GACAGAGAGGACCAGAAGCTGGAGGTCTGAGGACAGAGAGGACCAGAAGCTGGAGGTCTGAGGACAGAGAGGACCAGAAGCTGGAGGTCTGAGGACAGAGAGGACCAGAAGCTGGAGGTCTGAGGACAGAGAGGACCAGAAGCTGGAGGTCTGAGGACAGAGAGGACCAGAAGCTGGAGGTCTGAGGACAGAGAGGACCAGAAGCTGGAGGTCTGAGGACAGAGAGGACCAGAAGCTGGAGGTCTGAGGACAGAGAGGACCAGAAGCTGGAGGTCTGAGGACAGAGAGGACCAGAAGCTGGAGGTCTGAGGACAGAGAGGACCAGAAGCTGGACATCAGAGGTTTAAAGACAATCAGGAGGACAGAATTAGTCTTTCTGACCGCAGTAGACTGTCCTCCTACAGGACACTTTGACTTTCTGTCCTAGGTCCAGATGTCCTGTAGAACCTGAGGATCCTGGACCTCAGGACCTGATGTGGTTTTATGTGTTTTAATTTAAAGACATATCAGATCTGTTGGACCTGCAGCTGCTTTTAAACTTTTATCTTCAATAAATCATCAGCTGAATATTTCATCACAGTCTCTGCTCTTTGGTCTGGTTCTAGTTCTGCTGGGCTCAGATCAGGAGCCTGCAGATCCTCCTGCTGACCAGCAGGTGGCAGCGCTCCTAACCAGTCCTGGACTCTGCAGGTAGGACATCCAGGAAGCAGGACTCTGTGGTCCTCTTAGTTTAAGTCTTCAGCTCCTGTTTTCAGAGGAACATGTTCTGTGGTCCTCAGTCCGGTCCGGTCCGGTCCGGCCCCGCCCCCTCCACAGGTTAATGTGTCATCAGGCAGTCTGATCAGTCCACAGTTAGAGGACAGAACCGTTATTGATCCGGTGCTGATGGAACCACTCACAGTGGGTGTGTCCAGTCTGTAGAGTCTTCAGGAGTCCTGCAGGAGGGTTCACAGGACTCTGGAGGACCAGGTCTTTGCTGTCTCACATGAGTAGGTACCAGGTTCTGACCAGAGCCCAGACCTGGCCCAGGGTGGACTGTAATCAGATTACTCTGCTGAGGAGGTGAGTCAGCAGTAATAAATCCTCCAGCCCCTCCCTCTGAGGAACCACAGGGACCGCCTCAGAACCAACAGGACCAGAGTTCTGCTGGGTTCAGATCCATAAAGAGTTGTTTAGTTTTCAGGTCAGACCTCTGTCTCCTGCAGCTCCTCAGCTGGGACTCCTCTGAGCCCCAAACTGAATTAAGACCCAGGTTTCAGTTTCAGTCTGAGTGCTTCAGGAGAACATCCCTGCCCTCAGACTGGAACCAGGCTTTTATTCTGAAAAACCTCACAGTGTGCTCACCGCATGACGTGGACCCAAAACATGAAGGAAAACAAAGCTTTCAGGAGTTCTTCTGTGACCCGCTTCAGGCCTCCACAGGTCCGATGGGAACTCTGCTTTAGTTTCAGTTGTTCCAGCCCTGTAAGAACCAGAACAAGTTCTGACAGAGTCTGGACCAGAATCAAACAAACCTTCCAGTTTTTCTTCATCATCATCATCTTTCTGAGACCCGGCTTCAGAACCACCTTCAGTTCTCAGACACGTTTAAGTGATCAGATGAACGCGGTCTGCTTCAGAACCTGACAGATCGGCACGTTTTGGTCCAGAACGGGTCGATCCGGAGCACAGAGCCGTTAAAGGTTCTATTGATTTCAGATGTTCATCAGAGGCATCATAAAGTGCTGCTGTCACATCATCTGCACGTTTCCCATCACAGCCTTCATCATCATCATCATCATCATCATCATCATCGCAGCGTTGAACCATGAAGAACCCAGGTCTTCATCCTGCTCAGCCCCCACCCCCCAGAGACGGGCCGCCAGAGACCACATGAGGGTCTGTTGGACTGTCAGAGGATTAAAGACGTGCAGGACCTGAGGGCTCTCCAAGTCTATGGACTGGGTCCTGGTGGGACAGGTCTCTGGTCACATGTCCTCCTGAACGTGCACGTGGCCCCTCTGTGTAATGGCAGTAGGAGCGTGCACGTGGCCCCTCTGTGTAATGGCTGTAGGAGCGTGCACGTGGCCCCTCTGTGTAATGGCTGTAGGAGCGTGCACGTGGCCCCTCTGTGTAATGGCAGGAGCGTGCACGT